TATTTAAAACATTGTGATTGCACCAATTATATGTGAGTATATTTGTAATATTTTGCAATTATATAAATAAATATTTAAGTAATTTAATTGATTTTTTTAAACATGGATGTGTAATTTATAGGATTTTTCAGGTTGCTTTAGGCAAACAGCATTCAATAGCTAGACTTGAGTATTAATTTTAATTCAATTATTAACATTTATTTAATTACAGTCATGAATAGTGATATCCACTTTAATTTATATCATGGTAATTATTTAAAAATCCCGCCGTTCGAAAAGTGTCAATGAAGTGAATTGACAGGCGTTCAGAATTGGGCTCCAATATTCATATAATTTTTGCATTTTCATGCGAAATTTTGCTTCAAATCTACCACTACCAGGCACATTTTTCTTTCAAATCTCGCCTGTATTGCTCAGGACGTCTGCTGAAATGTTAGAGGTAATTATTTTGAATATTTATTTAAATTAAATATGATACTTACTGTTTTGAGATATTTTAATGTATTTTGGTGATGGGAATGTTTTTTTAACTACAATATTATTGTATTAACTTTGATATGAGTAGTAAAAATATATAATATAGGAGATAAATGCAAAAAAATTTAGTTATTCGTGTGTACGTGAGGCAATTTTTGATCTTCCGTGTGGCAAGTAACCGATGATACCTATTAACATTAATTACAGATGCAGATTTTTTATAATTTATGAACAATAATTATTATAATAATTATTTATTAATCAATACTACATTATAATAGATGTATAAATATTATAAAATTACAAAATTTAGAAATTTTTGACACAAAATGCTAAACATTATTAAATATATGATATAAATAATGAAATTAATAAAATTTATTATAATATGTAAAATATGTTTAAATAAAAAGTAACGCGATTTTAAGCGCCTGCTTATTATAAAAGTAAATAAATCGACAAATGCTTATTGATTACTTCCAAGTTCACACACATTCTCCTTCTAACTCATCAGGAGCTCCTTCGTCTTGTTCGTATTCATCATCGGCTGTTGCTTCTTGATATTGTTGATATTCGGAAACGAGATCATTCATATTACTTTCGGCCTCCGTGAACTCCATTTCATCCATGCCCTCTCCAGTGTACCAATGCAAGAAGGCCTTACGCCTAAACATAGCGCTAAATTGCTCAGAAATACGCTTAAATAGTTCTTGTATCGCTGTCGTATTACCGATAAACGTAGAAGACATTTTGAGTCCTTTGGGAGGTATGTCACAAACTGCAGTCTTGACATTATTCGGAATCCATTCTACAAAGTAGCTGCTATTTTTATTCTGCACTGCCAGCATTTGTTCGTCTACTTCCTTCATTGACATGCGGCCACGAAAAACGGCAGCCACTGTCAAATACCGACCATGACGAGGATCGCAGGCTGCCATCATATTCTTGGCATCGAACATTTGCTGGGTCAACTCAGGAACGGTCAAAGCACGATATTGTTGACTTCCACGAGAAGTTAAAGGAGCAAATCCTGGCATGAAGAAATGAAGACGCGGAAACGGTACCATGTTGACCGCTAATTTACGTAAATCGGCGTTCAGTTGGCCTGGGAATCTGAGACAAGTTGTCACGCCAGACATGGTTAAGGATACTAAATGGTTTAAGTCACCATAGCTAGGATTTGGTACTTTGAGCGTACGGAAGCAAATATCGTACAACGCCTCATTATCGATGCAGTAAGTTTCATCAGTATTTTCTACGAGTTGATGAATGGATAAGGTGGCGTTATAAGGCTCCACTACAGTATCCGAAACTTTCGGGCTGGGAACAACAGAATAAGTATTCATGATGCGATCGGGATATTCTTCCCGAATTTTCGAAATCAGCAAAGTTCCCATTCCAGATCCGGTTCCACCGCCCAAGGAGTGGGTCAGCTGGAACCCTTGAAGACAATCGCAGTTCTCACATTCTTTTCGGACTACATCCAAGACGGCATCCACCAGTTCAGCTCCCTCGGTGTAATGGCCTTTGGCCCAATTGTTGCCAGCGCCGGATTGCCCAAAAACGAAGTTGTCTGGGCGAAAGAGTTTGCCATACAATCCAGAGCGCACAGCTTCCATTGTCCCTGGCTCCAGGTCCAGCAGGATAGCGCGAGGCACATATTTGCCACCGCTGGTACGAGTGGCCACTGAAAACAAAAAAGTGTGTGAATAAAAAACAGGTTATTTTAAATTCACTATTTTGAAGGTTTTAGAGGTTGAATACTAACAAGTCAGCAATAACAGTTTTTATTCTCAAAACAATGCTTTTGTTATGTTATTCAAACAGTCGGTGTGGACGATATTTTGTTAACACACGATGCATTTAATCAGTAGAATGAGTGATGGAGTGCAAAAATAACCGCAAATTTGATGTAAATGATTTGATGATGAATGAAATGATGAGGAAAGATATTTCGACGCCCATATAATACACGTTTGAAACAATATTTAGCTACGCGTTCTTTGCATACAGTTTTTGTTGATGTAACTGATGTTGATCATTAGAACTATAGTTCTATATATATATATATATACATATATATATATATATATATATATATATATTCTTGGATGTTTATTTGCAAACCAATTGTCTAAATAAAGAGCAATAAATAATTAAACTATTAGTTACAGTTTTTAAACAAATTAATCCAATTTAAGGCATTTCTTATTGTTGTTTCTTATTTTAAAAATTCCACTCCAATAATCATGTGTTGTATTTAATTATAGACGAATTGTATCTCTCATCCTCGATGCAGTAAGTTCAATGTCTTTCTGCTCCCGCAAAGTGATCCTATAAATAAAATGTATCGCACGCGTCGTTGAATTTCTGGAGGAGGAAGGATGCACATATTGCATAGCAACGAGATGGAGAAAAAAACTAAAAGAAATAAAAATGGAAAAGACATTCAAGATTTGGATGAGGAACACTCGTACAACATATCCGTATTTATAGAAAGATGACAGGCAGACGCTTTACACAGGAATATTTGAAATAGATGGATGTCAGGTATGGTTAGCTAGTTATATTGATGTAATATTTATATTATTTTAGTATTATTAACTTCACGAAGAAAGTTCATGTTCTCTTGAGAACATCCAACTTGATAGTTTGTGTTTTATCGACGTTCCAAGTATTTCTGAATCGTTTGAGAGCTGATTTTTTACCTTTGGTCGACTTTTTCTCGAAAACTGTTGAATCAATTCACATTCATTTTTTCATAACTAGGTGCAAGTGGCATTTTGCCTTAAAGCAAGTAGCATAAACAAGGATGATCAGCTGAAAATTGATCAACGCAATTTTTAATCGAGTTATATCAAATTGCTTATTAAACTATTGAAACCGGTGCAGCCGATTTAGAAAGACTTGGATTGATATTATTTATTTATAATAAATATTTTTTGATTATTTTAAGAGCCACTTTCAAAATATTCGTCCATTTGATTATTTTCATTTATCAATCAAGCACTAATTAATACTCTTTATTATACTTTTGCGGCTTCGAACGATTAAAATGTTTTGGTTCGTAGTATAAACTGTTTATGAAATTTTAATGATCATGTTTCACTCAGAGATAACATGCCTTCATGTTTCAAATACTTTGTTCATAAAATTTATCATATTCGATGGAGTTCTAAAATTACAAAATTAAATATAATACCTATATAATTATATTCGAAAGCAATTTTAAAATAACATTTTAGGAAATTCAAAATTAGATTTAAAAAACACACGCGTGTTTGTTTTCTAGATCTCTTATTCTGTTACATGTCTTTTAACGGCATATCTGTGACTTGTACTTAACACTAGATTTTTTTATGCTTGACAAATTACTAATAACCCTTTGGACAGGTGTTGACAACCTTCTTGGGGACAACACCTAAATATATTTCAAACAAGGTGATTGATATGTTGATCAAGTCAAAATACTTCTTAAACAGTCCAGAAACATTCTATTGTTCATCCAGATAATAGAAGTAAAAAAAATATTTCTAAAGAATATTTTCAATTGATTTGTGTGCATTTGGTGGACGTCTTTTATATATTAATTTTAATTTTTCAAATTGAATAGGTACTCATAATTTCTTCTTAAATTAAATTCTTTTTACTCCAGTGGTAAAAAATCTGCAGAAACGTTAAAATTTTTTTGTGTGTGGTTAAAGGTTTATCTCATCTGCTCTGATGTTAAATATCCAAACTGTTATTTCTTAAAATTAGGTGTCATTAAACCACCAAGTTGGTGAAAAGAAATGAGACCACATTATCACACGAGGAAATCATAACAAAAACTCGAAGTGATTTGTGACAAAGCAATTTCTGTTTTTTCATTTTGTTGCTTTGTATTCAATAGAATTAGATTCGTTTGGTGTTTTTGGGTAATTATATATTACAAAATAAATTTAAATGGTTTTATATATGTTCAAATTGTTTTATCCTATATCATGTAAATGTTATAGTAATTATCTTAATTACAAAAAACAATTTTCCATCAACATGAACCGTTTTTGGTACATGGAAGTTTGCGATTCGAACACAACAAGTAGACCATGAAGATCTTATGCACATAAGATGCACGCGCTGCTATAATAAACACTTAAATTGGTTCTATAATTTAATTTTACAACTGGACGACGACTAATTAAATGCTCAAATTAAAATCAAACTGGACGTAGAATTTTAATTGATATATTACTCCAGCACGCGTCAATAAAAGGTTGTTGACATGGGATAGAAATTGCAATGATTAGAAATTTTACTCTGAATGGGTTTTTATAAAATTGCCCCTGGAAGGGACGTTATCTTTGCAAAATTGTGCTGACATCTGCTGGCCTTATTGACAAATATTTGGACACTTGCCCTTTGTCCTTCAGCACATGCTGTTTGGCGCTCGTCCATTTGCCTGCCGACCACACGAGTAAGTGCTTCGACATATTTCTGAAATTTAGTTCGATATTTAATTTTTTTTTTTTTAACTTTTACAATGAAGTGGTGTAATTCTTAAATTTCATTGATTTGTAAGTGAACGTAAATGTAGTTGATCATGTAAATATTTAATAATATCGGTCTACTGGAATGGACTTTCATCCGATTTGGGGACGCCATGTTGGAGTTCGAGGTCACTTGCAGAAAGCAAGGTAGGATTTATAATTTTATTTAATGCATCGGTGTTATAATATTAGGGAATTGCATATCTGAAATCGAAATTATTCTACTTGCGAATTAAATAGAATTTTCTGATATTTGAACTGTTGATTGAAATTGGCTTAGGTGATGATGATGGTAATGGGAAGTATGTTGTATTTGCAATATGGTGATATCTTCCGCCATTTTTTCCTAATATTTGCACAATGACCCTTTGTGGTTGAGCACATGTTTTTGGCGTCGTCCATTTGCGCGCCAACTACCCGAGCAAGTGTTTGGATCTAAATATTTCTGAAATTTCGTTTCGTATTGAATTTATTTTTTTAATTTTCCGATTAAGTGATTTTTTTGATGGCGTACCGGATCTTCCATCCGATTTGGAGGACGCCATGATGAGTTTTTGATTTACTTGCAGAAAGCAAGGTAGGATTTATAATTTTATTTTATACATTTGTTTTTTTGTTAACTGGAACATTGAACTCCAAAAGCCTCTACTTGCGAATTAAATAAAATTTTCATATTTTTGGATATGAATATGTTGGGTGGATTTCTGTTGCTTGTGCTCACAATTTGTGATCTTTGTGCATTCGAAACTAAAGTTAGATAAGAATTCATACAATTTGAATAATATGGTCGGCTTTGCATTGTATTGAATGCATGTATTATGCAATCGTTACTGACACAGTAGGGCAGACTTCTAGAATGATTCATAGAAATGACCTCGAGAAATTCGGCAATATTAACTGCGCATTTGATAACAATATGAAGCACGTTTGGAATATTCCGATGATTGAAGTTACATTATAACTATATTAGTAATGATTAATTGATTTTAATTTTAAATTAATTATTTAATTTTTTTGAATCTTACATTTCATTAAATATTATTTTGATACTCGTTAAATGTCGTCTTCACGTTTTTACAATTTTTGTATTTTTTTATCGCACAAACGTGTATTCCTTCAATTTAACGAGTTTTTATTCTTATTTGAACTTTCAGTTAAAAAAAAGTAATTAGTTTGATTTTTTTTTTTGATGAAGTTATTACATTTGGTATGATTTCTTACCAATGACCACTGATACAAAAAATTATAATTTATCTACCTCCGTGTCACAATAATAAATTATGTATCTATTACAAATTACAGATATCATTTAATCATCTGTTCAGGAAATTTGCCTTATTTCTAACACTTTTTGTATGTCGGTAAATCTGTTAGTGTTTTAATTAAAAAATAAATTAAGATATTCGCCGATAAGACGTGTTTCTTGGCGAATTAATTATTTCCGCTCTGATTTTCTATGTTACTGTAATCAGTTCCTGCAAGATAGATATAGACGCACGGATAATTTTTTTTTTCTTTGGCATTATTGAGGAAACTGACATTTTTATAATAGTCCTTTCTGTAATTTAGAACGACGAATTTGTAAGTCGTGAGAAATGTAATTGTAATGTTATTCTTCGAGTCACAGAATATTTTTTTATATATTTTCAAAAAAAACTGAATTCGACGATCAGACTTCTTAAACCACGTGGCTTTATAGATGGTAACCCAAATGGTTGTCTTTTATCTTCATGATTCTATTATTACATTTTCTGTTATATTTTCAAAAGCGTTCAGCATTTGACTATCAGACTTCCAAAACCACGTGGCTTTATGGGTGGCAACCCAAATGGTTATCCCATCTCTTTATGATTCTATTAGTACAATTTTATATAACTAATTAATTGTTTCTAGAATCAAATCATATTTTTATATATATTTTCAAATAAAACAGAATTCGACGATCAGACTTCTTGAACCACGTGGCTTTATTGATGGCAACCCAAATGGTTGTCTTTTTTAAAAATTTAAGTATATCAATTTCGATTTATATATTAAATAAATGAAGCTATTATTACATATATAAAACTGCCATATTTTAATTTTTTTATGGGAACATGTTGGAAGTCACTGATTTGTCACGTGTTGTGGAAGATCAACTAGATCAACAAATTTTTGATTGCATTTTGTACGAATTGAATAATTATGGATTTTTTGTAATTCTGCAAACCTCTGTCAATATTGTCTTCATTTTATTTCAAAATTTATGTATATACATATGTAATAACCACTCGGATGAACAAAGCAAATATTAGTAAACAAATCTTTTGGTTTTCTGGTGAGTGGAGCGAGTGTAGTCGAATGCAAGTGGTCTTCAAATAATTCCAAATATAAAGTGTAATATATATATATATATATATATATATATATATATATCATCTGGATGTACATAGAATACAGAAATAAACCAAACATCAAAGAAATATCCCTGCATTCCATTGCACGATTGCACGCAGTAAAATATATTACTCATAAAAAGGCACAGGCTCAACTCTTCCACGGACTTCAGAATATCAATTTTACGATTCCTCTCAGAATATTACATATTTCTGCATATTTATATTTCTGTGTGTGAATAAATGTCAACAATTTATGGAATAAGAGAATCACTTAAGTACTTACTAATTGGCTTACACATTTTTTCTTTATAATCGAACTAATTGATATCCTAGAAATTGTGATTTATTTCGATTTGTTCTTACGTTATACAAGTCGTCATATGCAGACTAATTTTCACATCGAAAATGAGAATTTTGTAAAATGATTATCACGTATTTTATTACATATTATGTAATATGTACCTTGAATTTAATGTCATGGGTTCCAATGATTGCTTGTTCCCTTAATAAGTATTATGTATTTTTACTAAAATTTTATATAGATTTTTTTTTACTATTTTTTTAAATATTTTAATAATATTCATGCGTTTCTGTAACATCCTTTATTCAGTGAAAAATATGATTTGCAAACAAGAATTCCGGCATAAATTGTAAAAACTATTTTTACATTATTTTTATTTAGTACTATCATTTTCTAGCTAATTATTTTTTTTTTCCGGAAGATCTAGAAATACTTAAATATCCAACTATTCTTAGACAAATTGGATAATTGACTTTCTTGGTTTAATTAGTTTTCTCCAAATAGATTGAAAAATTAATGCTATTATTTTCTAGCTAATTAAAAAATACTGTTTGTTTTGTCTAAAGGATCTAGAAATATTTCTCGGTTTTATCTATTTTTTCAAAACAGATGCAAAATTTAATGCTATCGTTTTCTAGCTAATTAAAAAATAGTACTTTTTTTGTTTTCTCTGAGATCTAGAAATATTTAAATATCAAACTATTCTTAGATAAATTGGACAGTCGACTTTCTTGTTTTTATTAGTTTTCTCCAAATAGGTTAAAATGTTAATGCTATAATTTTTTACCCAAATATAAAAATCTTTTTTTCTCTCGAGGGTCTAGAAATATTTTAATACCAAAAATCTAATAGATCAAAAACACTATTTTACACTATTTTTGTATTTCATTTGAAATTTTCATTGCAGTTTTTTTTTTGAATAAACTTTATACCTGAATTAGAATCTAGTATGTACTTTTTAAATACTTTTTTGTTTACTCTGAAAAATCTAGAAATATTTATCAAACTATTAGACAAATTGGACAATCGACTTTCTCGGTTTTATTAATTTCAACAAAATAGATTAAAAGTAAATGCTCTTATTTCCTAGCTAATTCAAAAATAGCATTTTTTATATTTGTTTTGGAAGATCTAGAAGATATAGAAATATTTGATTACATAATATCTAGTAGACCGAATACCTGCATATTTTTTATTACAAAATGTAATAGAACCAAAAAACTTGAAATTTTTATTGAAGTTTAGGATAAACTTTATACTTAGTAGTATATACTTTTTAAAAACGAAATTTTAGAAAGTTTCCAAATTATTTTTATTTGGAGGCTCAAGTCATTAAAAAATCATTAACATTAACAATTTTTTTTAAATATATATTCACAAGACTTTTAATTCAAATTTGAGGCTCTTCAGAACTTCTGCCTTCCAAATTTTTAAGAATGTAGTGAGAACAGAGAATTAGAATTTTTATAACTAATTTTTATTTAAAATTAGTTATCAGTTGCTAGCATGAATTTGTTCTATTAAAATCAAATTTAAAATTTTCTAAAATATTAGATGTTGATACTAGAGTTTGGCTCCGACCCTTACACGAGAAACTTTGGTTTGTGTTACGATTACTAGTATTTTTTTTCAGATTAAGAATCGATTATTCAAATGTTTCTATTAAATCTATCTCGACCCTAAACATCTATTTATCGATACAAATTTATTATATATGCAAAAGCCCGTATAAATGCAATTAGTTCCATACGGGACCCCATGAAACATCTACTTGTACCTATATATAATTTATCAATCTATCATAGCTTTTTAAATAACGGTGAGATAGGAATCCATGTTTACAATTGATAGCACATCCTAGTTGTCAATTATATGCACACCTCTTCTATACAGAATCTAATTACAATTATTTGCTTTTATTCTGAGGGTACTCATTTTGTATATTATCTATCAGCAGGTTTTCAATGAGGCATGTATAGCCTAACTATATACGCCCATAGGACTTTTTACACAATAAAATATAGATGTTTTTTTACTTTACCAGCTTCTGATTCTTGATTTACGATGTGAAAATTAGTCAGCGTATAATCTTGACTTATACGATGTGATAATAATTTGATTTCTTCGGAGAGTAATTTTTATTTTTATTTATGATTTCAAAGATATCTCTATCCATGGATTTTTATACAATTTGGCCATTTTATATATTCATTTTATTTATTTATAAATGACAATTTCACGAATTCAATATTTTTTCACAACTAATATTTTTTTTAATGAGAACCATATGTTCTATACGTTGTATGGAACTTAAGTTAGTACAAGACTACAACCCAATGGTTGACCATTCGCTTTATGATTAAATATATTTCTAATACTGGCGTGAATATATGTAGCAATGCCACCGAAAAGCTATTTTTAGTTGATCATATTGGAAATTTTTAATTTTTAGTCTGTTATTACTGCTTGATAACAAGCTAGCCAAAATAGCTGTCGAATAAGGAAAATTTTATTTTAATGAGAACTATCTGTTCTATTCGTTGTTGTGATAATTTCTTAAGTTAGTTCAAGAAGGCAACCCAATGGTTGACCATCCTTTCTGATAGTTCATTAAATATATTTCTAATATTGATGTGAATATTTATAGCAATGCCTCCGAAAGGCTATTTTACTTGATCATATTTGAAATTTTTAATCTCTAATTAGTCTGTTATTACTGCTTGATAAACAGTTGGCCAGAGTAGTTAAAAATGTGAAAACATTTTAGTTAGGTGTATACTAATACTTTGAATTCGACTTCAAGCACACCAAATAATTAATATAATGCTTTATGGAAATCAATATTTTGGATCAGTTAAACTAAATTTACTTAAACTATCTAGTTGTTTCTAAGATCTCTTCACGAACTTGAAAAAAATTTTTTTTTGGTATAATGCTTTTTTTTTAAATTCATCAATAATAATAATGCATCGACCCAATTAGAAGTTTTTTTTTAATATTCGCGCCTATTTCATTATGGAACATCTGCAAATTTTTGTTAGTACTCATAATCAGTAAATCGAATGCCAATCTAATTGGTAAATAGAAAAGTAACTTGAAAAACATTACTGAAACAATTACCATCTTGTACAATTTATTTTTTTTATTATATTTTGTTTAACTTACAATCGTTTAATATTTTTTATTTATCATTTACTCACAATCGTTTAATATTTTTACTAATTTTATCAAGCCCTCTTGGAGCTAGTTGATGCACCAAGGTACTTTCGGCGCATTTCGTGTATACATTACATATACAACGTTGCCAAATTTAGCCACAACCTTTTCAGCACATTTTACAACAAATCCAATCAATTTTCATAATTTACAAATAATTGTTTTTATTATTAAAAATCGATTTAATGAATATTTTTCTCACCAGAAGCCTCGTTGTAGTAGACGCTAACGCGTTCGAGTTGAAGGTCGCTCTCGCCGTGATAAATGCCACTTGGGTCGATACCATGCTCTTCGGAGATAATTTCCCAGAACTGCAAAAATAAATAAAAAATAATACATAACTATAAATCATTTGTGTTCGTCAGTCATTATAAATAAGTAAATGAAATTATAATCAGACATATGCGCGGAATGATAAAGTATTTACGTTGATAACGCAGTAATCGCTTAATCTCTTTGGATGTGATTATTAATAGGCATTCCAGATCTGAGGCAAAATTTAAAAATACATGTTCAGAAATACTTGGTCAGTAATTTTAATTATTTATTTTTAACTGCAATCAGAACTTCATATGTTCTACTGGCTTGTTATGTTGACGTCTTGGACGACTTGGCCTTTTATAGATGGTAACCCAAATGATGGTCCTAACCCTGATGAGTTTATTATTACAATTTCTTTGACACTGATGATGCAGCAATGTTAGGTAAAGGATATTTTCACTTCCAAACATACTGCTATTTATATTTTCAAGTCAAAACTGATGTCGTTACTGTTGACATCAGGTTGTCAAAGGTGAACCTCAAATCTGATTCCTTAGCCAATAGGCCACGAGGATCCTAACTCCATTTATTGACTATATTTGATTATTCACAAATTTACCTCTGATTTGTAGTTTATTTCATTTACACTCAATAAGGTAATAAATAACGTTTTCTTGTGGTAATATTTTATGAGCTAGAAACCTCACAGAGGTAACCGAGATGATAGCGGAAAACCTCATTGAATGAATCATGGAAAATAAAACACTGCAACGTAAATTTCTCCGTAAAAAACCATCATAAAACGTGTCTTGGGAAGCTGTGGTTTTAATTTATAGTAGGTAAAGGTTGAAAAAGTTACATATGCTTTGATAATAGAAACACATCATTTGGAGGAACATGAAGTAAAATTAACAATTCATTATCGATTGTTGATAATTTGACTGCAAATAGCACCTACTTATAACATTATTTTTTAATTTATACCTATTAAGTTAACGATAAAACTATTATGCTAAATTTATTAATCTTTGGAATTCTAACTTATAATTTATAATGATTAGCCAAGACTAGCCAAGTATGCCAGACTTATTGTGAGTTTATTGTGAGAATGTTAATACTGTAGGCGTACGTAAATTTTAATTATTTTTTATAATTAATCCACTTCTATTCATCTATTTCTTAAAATTTTGTTAATTTCTTGTTTATACTAATTCATTCCATATTTACTTTTTTTCCTCATTTTGAAAATGATTTAAAATTGTAGCAAATCACTGAATCATTCAATTAGAACTCATCTTAATGCTTGAGCGAACAATAACACCTGCCGGATGACTATCGACACAAATCCATCTATATTTTAGTCTTAATTTAAAAAAATACAACTATCACTGTATAAATCAAATTAAAGATCGATCTAACAGTATTATATATATATATATATATTTGTAAATTGTATTTTATTTGTTATAAATAAAACAAACTTTGTGTAGCTCCTCGTGCCATTTATAAATGAAATATTTAGTCTTTTTGTTTTTGCAAATTGTGGTTAATCATAGAATTTATAATTAATTTTTAATTGAAAATCGAATTACTTGAATCAAACATTGAATAAAATTTTCATTCATATTTTGATTGGTAATCATATTGAATATTGAATAATCAATGCACTGAATCCAATCATTTTTCTTGAATTTTTTTAGATGTGTTTCGTTAATAAAATTTTTGTTTGTCATTGCCACCACAATAGTATTACTTTCCTTACATTATTTTAGTATAAATTTTTATTTTATTATTATATAAATTATTTTTATATTTACATTTTGTCCAAAATTTCATACGGGTTTTATTTTTGAATTGAACAGCTGCGCGCAGAACTTTCTTTACTTATCCTTACAAAAATAATTCAAGTTTTAAAAGAATAACTAAACAAATGTTTTGACATTTGTAAAAAATGATTTTTTTCTGTCAGGGGAAGATAAAACACATGGTTAAGTAGGATTTATTATGGTTATCTCGAACGGGAATAGTTCTGATAATTTTGTATGCTGGTTTTTAACGAGACATTGACTTGTAAATGAATTATGATAATTTTAGAACTATATCTATACTTATGACATTGCTTTCTTTGAACTGTTTCAAGTTCAATTCAAAATCTGATGCATAAATCTTCACACTTTAATTATTTGCATAGAATGTTTATGTAATGGTTATAATAATGCTTCAAATGATTAGTTCCATAAAAATTACAATAAATACTATAGATTATTCCGACATGACAACTTGTGTTGCCACATCACTCCCTTAATATTTTTTTAAGTGATAAAAAATTAAAAATTCAAAACTAGGAGTGATGTGGCAACACAAGTTGACCATATTAGAATAAATTTTCTTATGCTCTCTTACAATTTTTTGGCTTTGAATGGTATTACCATAAATCATGAATTTTAATATTTCAATGAACTTTAATATAAACTATCTGTTTTAATCATATTCACAATATTGTATTCATGAATGTTACAATTCAAAAATATACTAAGTCCGTTTCATATTAATAAAATTACGATTTCCAGAGGCAATTGTTATGATTACTCGTAACAAACATGATAAATACAACTAATTTAACATCTACATTATCCGACTAATATTTCTTCATAATACGAATGAAAGTTATAAGTTCCTTTTAGGTTCGACCCATAATTATTCATAAAAAGCCTATTATTATAATATGTACCATCATAATGGGTTTATGTGGAATAATTTTCTCTGTTGTATACAGTCATTGTGATACTCTTTATTACAGATGGTAATTTAGAACATAAAATGAGATGAAAAAAATATAATGCAGGCTTACTGCTGGTTTTTTATTATTGTAGACGTCTGCATATGTATTAATTAATAAGTTTATTTAATTGCAGTATGGTAATAAAGTAAAGTTTTTATGTAACTGAATCGTAATGTATACATTTTGTAATGTTGTAATGAAGTCTGTCGGTTCGATCCTGACCTCGTCCAGCTCGGTATCAAGTAGTATAACAGATTTGCACTTACAATTATAGATCTCAATTATCTCAAGCAAAACTAATTTTTCATGGGCATTGCTGTAACATCTAACAGTCTTACTCATAAATTGTGGTTGTCCATTGGGTTGCCCTTTCTTATGAGTTAAATATACGTATATTTTTTATTTTTCATTTATCTAATTGAATTTAATATATCCAAAAAAATGTGTACATGAATCAAATCTTCAAAGAATGTGTGTCAGAAATTTCTAATTTTAGCGGTGAACAATCTTTTGCGATAAGATATAATTATTTTGCCATAGGTCATGTTATTAGGTGCAATTAATATTTTAAAATTAACTGAAATTACTGAATATGTATCTAATAGCCAAATAAAAATGACTAAGGTTTGATTTTTTAAAAAAAAAACTGAATTCTGAGCACTGAAGTGATTGTTCTAATTAAATTAAAATATTTTGAGTAATATTAACAAGATTTGTTTTTTAATTTCCTGTTTAAAATTTGCTTTTGCCAGTTTATTTTATTTTCTTTTGTTGAATTTTATAAGTTTTACGAAACAATCGATCCACCTATTTCTTTAGAACTAACAAAAAAGTGTAAAATATTTATATTTTTTCGCAAAAAGTCCTGGATAAAATTTACTCATTTAAAACCCATTACTTGTAACTGTTGCCAATTTTGGATGAAGATTGGCCAAGTAGTTTTTTCCTGATTGTATAAGGTTTTGGATGATTTTGGTGAATCTTTGGGATAGATGTCTTAACGAAAATTCATAAAATATATGGGTCTACAAAAAGGCATTCAGTTATGGAAATTTATTAATGTTTATTTTATCAAAATTTATAAACTATAGCAATATTTGGTATTGATCAAGTTGGATACTTAGATGGAAGTTCTTGCAAAGGCAAGTTTCCACTTACACCTAATTTCTAGTTAATATTTTTTTTTACCATCGACTAGAGAGCATAACTTTTAATTGTACATTTCGAGGATTAATTTATTGGAACACAGAATTTTCAACCTAGCTTATTTAAATCTCCAACAGGAAGAAAAACAAACCATCTTTCTTATTTTAGTCTCGAGCCCACCGAAAACCGAGTTTCCGCTATTTTTTTCATTTCTAGAAGTCTATTGAACTTGTATTCTGGATATTCCAAATTTAGGAATCGCCTCAAAGATCTATTTATAAAATTTCTATGTGACAGTCAGAATGCGTTCTCGAACAGACGTTTCCATACGTGTAATTTTGAGTGCACCATTAAATATCTCTCTTAGGGTTTAGCGCAATAAATTACTTAAGAAGTCGAAAATAAAACACAGAACCGACTAGGTATATGTAAGATTACAAAGTTTACTCGAACATGAATACATTTTAATTAATGTCGTAGTTAAAATTGTAAATACCGGCCGTAAATTCATTTATATGCGAGCACGCTTCATTCTGCCACATAAATTTTATGGTATTGAGATTCCACGAGGAGCAGCTGATTGTAATAGAATCTGGATGAAATGCAGTTCTTTATTGCATAAATATTTTCAGAATAATTGGAAATAGTGAAAATACATAATTGTTTTAGTAATGAACACAGTTTTGGTCTGAAAAATTAAATTGCAAGTATATGTAGCTCTGTGAATGCTGCCGAATCTTCTGCAATTATTAGTTCGAAACTTCATTTTCTTGGCTTAGTTAGCAAACATGTTTTTACGGTTATAAAAAAAAAACTAGTGAGGTGCATGGCATCGTGCCTTAAGGCAAATTGCTGGAATTTCCCGTACCAAAATTTTTTTTTTAAAAAGATTAACATTTTTGAAAAAAAAATTACTCTAAAAAAATTAGATTTTTGAGAAACTTTAAATTTTTTAAATTTACACTTTTAGAGAAAAATTTATTTTGAAATATTTTGGAAATTCTGAATTTTTTTTCAAAGCATTCGTACTGCTTTAACTGCATAGAGACGAAATATCGAAGCGCGTAAGCGCCGCGTCGCTGTCTAACGGATAAACATTGGTAAGGAACCCATAGGAATGTA